TTCGAAAATCTAAGATTAATGAATTGAGTGAAATTAGTTATCAAGCTTAAGAATCGGATTAGTATAGTTCAATAGGATGAAATCGGATCCCTAGCTGCCTTAATACCATCAGAGTTCCCTTCGATCCTTTCTTATTTTCAAATTACTTCCTTACTTGCTCTGTTAGTTTAATTCTATTGTTTTAATTGCTATAGTCACTCGAATTTGATTGCCTATATAAAGTTATAGTTATTGTAATTGTCGTACTTAATTTAACTTGTAAAAAATCAATCTCGCACAACACCATTTTTTAACAATAAAAAGTACACACTCTCTCTTCTTTTTACACATACCAAACACAAATTCAAATTTAATTCCATGTTTAAATTAAAATTTTAACTACACATTTAAACATCAATTCAAACTATAATTTAAACCGCACAGTTTGAATTTTTCTGTTCAAATTAAAAATTTCAAACTAACAAATATCGTTTAAAAAATTGCAAATATCGTTTTAGCATATATAGCTATGAGTTTCACATGTCCTCCATAGTCTGCTATAAATTATTTAAGTAATTAACAAGTTAAAAATCTGGCTAAACATGTTTAAAGAAGTCAACTTTCATCACCAACGGAAAAAGTTTCATCTTCTGCAGACAAATAAAATGATTAGATTAATTATATATATATATATATAAACCATAAGCATACCTTCAATATATAAGCTCCTTTCATTTCGCTCTTTCAGATTGAGAATAATCATTTTTACAAGGACTAAAAGAAATTATTAATAATACAATAAAGTTCGGTTTAATAATCACGCTGGGCTTTCAATTGTAATAAAGGACTTATTGTTAAAGCTCAAGTTACCCATTTAATTCGATTGATTACTACGTTTTATGAATTTGGAATTTACGTGTATTGTGTTACTAAAACACTTGGGAAAAATATAATGTATGCCTGGCCAGTAGTCGCTCTTCTCGTTGAGGTTTTTTTTTTTTTTGAGGAAAAAGAAATGTGCCTGACTTCTTGTAATACAATTTTTTTTTTTTTTTTAATGTTAAAGACTGATCCTAATTCTTTAATGCTAATGCAACATATATCACATGAGTTATCATTCTTTTATTAACAATTGTTTAAAAAAAAATTTTGTGCCAATTAAAATTTAAAAATAACATCTATTAAGGAAAAAGAAACGACTCACTACCGTGTAAATTGATATTAAAATGTTAGGATTTAAATCAAAATTCTTAACACTACTCTATAAAAGTTAGAAGAGAGATTATTATGGTTACCATTTAATAAGATTGATAAGCGTAAGTCATTATTGTTTTGAGGGGTGGATATAGGATTAATAAGTCGACTAAAATTCAATATAGTCCTTGATTTTATTTTATTAATTGTGAAATGTGGACATAGAAACACCAACTTCTTACTTGAAAAAAAAAAAAAAAAAAAAAAAAGGGGGGGTGAAAATATGTTATATATTATCAGAGTTATTAATATCATTCAAATCAAGTAAAGCATGACCACTCAAGTGACAAGGCACCATGGCCAAACGTTGCGTCGGTAAGATTGTATTAGCAAAAATCTGAGAAGCCATGCCCCAGCTTGATAGCAACATCAGATCTGATGTCCCAACCTATGATTTACAACTCTTGGTGGTTGGCTCCGTTCACTTTACTGATTCGAGTTTAGAATTTAAGTTGAGATGTGACTTTATGTGAGAGTTTTTTACTGTAGTAAAAAAGTTAGATGTGCTTGTTTGTGAGAGCTTTTTACTGTAGACAAACTCAAATTCTAAACTCGAATCAACGAAGTGAACGTGGACTATTTGCCTTCAATAAACTTTGTCATTATTTAACTTGACTTCTCATCCTTCCTTATGCGAAAGTTATAAGATTAGTGAGTTATTTGTGCGCCGACTTATAAAGTCGAGTCACTCACCCGTGCCACTTTTTAGTGAAATGTTTGAAAAATATTATTTTTATATCATAAAAAATGATTTTGTGCTTATTTTGTACCACCGGAAAATTAGGGAGTAAAAGAGAGAAAAATGACATTTCTCCTTTTAATTTTCTTAAAAATGGTATTTTTCAAGTGCTTTCAAAGATGTGTAGATTCGAATTGCATTCCTATTTCTCTAAGGGGCGTTTGGTTGGAAGTAATGGAATGGAAAGAAAAGACTATTCCGTTCAATTCTAGCGTTTGGTTCTATTTTTACTTTCAGAAAAAGCAGGGGATGGAGGAATGGCCTTTCCATTCAAGCCTCACCACGTTTTTGTCCAAAATCTCCCCGATTGAGAGAGAAAAGCCCTAGCCCCCTTTACTCCCTCGACCATTTCATTTCGTTCTCAATCTCCGTAGCCTCTCTCATATCAAGCTGAAGATTGTCTTAATCGAAGGTACATAATGCAAATTTCTCATCCTTTGCTTCTGTTTCTGCATTCATTTTAATTCTTGTTCTTCTTTAATGTGTTAAATGTGTATCGAGAAAAAAAAAACATGAAAAAGATAAAATAAAGCACATATTTTGCGAGTTAGGGTCGAGAAAAAAGAAGTTCGGGTCAGAATTGGGTCGACCTGAAATTGACACGAAAAACACGGGTCAATTTCAAGTTAGACCCGCCTAAGCCGAATACGACACGAAACTCATAAATAACTAAAAAATACATATATTTTTCATTTCATATTTTAAATTTTATTATGAACTTGTGATATCATGATAGTTATACTCAAAATCTTATACTATTATTTGCTTAATTTCAATGGATGTTATTGTAATTTAGTGTGTTATGAATTTTAAGTTATTTCTAATATGTAAAAAAGTAAATAAAAGTATACAATTTTCGTGTCAATTTCGGATTCACAAGTCAATTTCGTGTCACGAGTCATTTTCGGGTCGTGTCGTGTCAACTCGTAAAGTGATCGTGTTGTGGTTTTTAAAAAATTTTGTGTCACGGGTCGTGTTTGGGTTGACTGTAAAGTTTAAAAAATGATCAAAATATAACATGTGACATGAATTGCCACCCCTAACCACCGTAACCAAACACACCTTAAAAGATCTGTAAACTAAAATTCTGACCCTCCATATGTTCCTGCAATTATTGGGGCCGAAGATTACCACGCCCAACTTGCTCATACCAAGCCCAACTTGTTGTTTCGTTTGGGAATAGGCCTAAGAAGGGCTTTTGGATAGCAAATCTTGAGACATTTTCCATCATTAATTTTGGACTGTGGGAAACGAGTTAAAAGGAATATCTCATTATCATTTTGGCCAACCAGAGAGAGAGAGAGAGACAACATGATAACTCATCAATTAATTTGATAACTCATCAATCAACAAATTAAGAACAAGAGGATGCCAAATATAAGATGACAATAAATATAAGAAAACTAAAATGGGAATAAAGAACATTAACGATCATTAGTTGGCAGTAAAGTAAAAAAGGGTGTATTACATGGATGACTAGTAAAAGTTGCATGGTGAGTTTGAGTTTGGGTTATTGTTAAAATTCATGATTGGAAAAAATATACATTTTGAAATCTGTTCCTGAGCTGGACGTATGGCGTACAAGTATAAGATACCTGCCGCGCCTTCAAAAGTAGTGTTTCGAAAAGTTGTTTATATAATTATTCAGTTAAAGTTATGTATATAAATAAAAGATAGATGTACCGGAGACAGAATATTTTCCTTTTTCTTTTTAGTCTATTTTTAAGATGCAAGATTATAGGATAAGTATGTATAGTGTAGTATATATAAAAAAAAAAAAAAAAAAGTAGCACTATTGGGAATCACTTGCAAAACACAAGCTAGTAGTAATTGGTCCAAATTTTAGATGGAATTGAAACGGAAGAAAATAACACATATTGAAGTCCGTGCAATTACGTCAAAACTCGGAGTATATTATACATGTATAACGTGAAATGCATGGCAAGTAACCTAGTTTAATTTGTCCTAATTTTATACCGACTTGAAAAGCGTTTTAAAAACTTGAGAGGAAAAACTAACACATTTTTCAGGAGCACGTACGTCAAAACAGGTGTATATAAATTGGAAAAAGTTTTGAACTTCTGGTTGTAAGAGATACATATATAGAAGATTGTCTAGTACGTTAGCGTATCGACTGTCAAGTTTTTCTAACTATTAAATCTGCATATATTTTTAATTTTTTCATGTTTTTATATAAATTAAACCGACAAAAAATTTGACTCACTAATATATTAGTGTACCGAAAAAGGTCTCCATATATACGTAGAAAGCGAATTATTGCGGAGCAAGTAATGAAGAAGAAAATATGAGATGTAAAGAGATGGGACTGGTAATAGTATTATTAGTAATGAAATAAAGCTCAAGTAAACGACAACATGCCGTTTGGCATATAATAATACATTAACAACTGAAGAAATGTCGAAATTTTCAAAGGGGTCTCTTTCACTTTTTTTTTTTTTTTTAAAAAAAAACGAATATTTAAGAGGAGCAGCCTCAGCCTAAGGGGGTGTGAGATTCGGAGTGGCAGTAGATGTGTGGAAAAACAAGACACCTTACTTATCTCACATGCAATTGCCCAATATTTTGAATATTAATTTGATTGATTAAAGTAGCAGCTAAAAAGAAAAACCTTGACTTTTGGTGCCTTCATGGTATCTTAACCCCCTTTTTTTCCCTTCATCCACTGTCCACCAACTTAAATTTCCCGAATCTACACTGTTTCTGGGCCCTGATCCTTCCTCTCTTTTTTTTTTTTTTTTTTTTTTTTTCCCCCCTCATCAAATTATACACGTCTATGCTTCTTCGTGTTGCCTTCCAAACGAACATATTAATTAAATAACACCACTCATGTCACCATATATAACACAATACAGCATAATCAAATATATGCATATACATACATACATATATACTATGCAGAGAAGATAATATTGTAATTAATTCAAATTCTATTTGTTGCACGTCAGAAGATCAGAGCATGAAAAAATAATTATATCCATGTGACATGCATGCATGGACACTAGATCCTTTTTGAAAAGAAAGACTTAATTGGAACTGTCATCTCCAAATAGTAAAGGATTTTTTGAGCATAAATATGGTGCCCTCCTTTCTAGGGAATTTGCACAAACCAAAGGGAGAGAGAAATTAAGAGCAGATCACAACATGAAAGGTAGCAATTACAAGGCCAATACCATAAAAAAGAGCCGAACCTTTCAGCTAACAAAGTCCCCTACAATGGATTATAATAATCAGTTGCCTGCAAGAACTGCTACTACTAATATCCAAGCTCCGAAAAAGCCTGCGGTGGTGGAGTTTCCGACGTCTCCCCAGCTGATATTCGGCGAGGAGATGCTCCACTTCGGCCACCCTCGGCACCCGTTGTCGCTGGTGAAGCTGCCGGACCTCTTCACCTGTGCCGGCTGCAAGGAGTACGGATCAGGGAAGAGGTTCGTGTGCCAGCAATGCGATTTTCAGCTTCATGACTTCTGTGCCTCTGCTCCCCCTACTCTTAAGGCCCATCCCCTCCACTACCAACACCAGCTCATCCTCTTTTCTAAACCAGGTTGTTTATCATCATTTACTTCTTCTCTTTTAATTTATTATAACTGGTAACATAATTGGAGGCACAATTGTTACCGCTATGCTAAACCTGCAATTTATCGTCGCCACTTTTCAATCTTCATGAATATATATCATAATAATGCATTAATCCTAATTTTTCTTTTCTCAATCTCATTAAATCACGGCTTTAACGAGGGTGATGATCATGGGCAGAACTACGCATATTTTATCTAAGCGGCATGCTGCCTTCATTGAGATTTTAAGTTTCAAATTTTCATCTGTAAAAATAATTCAGTTAAAAAATTATATATACTTCTATTCAATCTGAGCAAAAAACTCGTGTTTCTCCTGTACTGCTTCCTAACTTTCGATAGATGGATCCTAATTTTTTTCTCTCCTTTTTTTAGACTGATTTAAATCACGGACTTTATGATGATGATGATCAGGCCGAAACTGCATCACAAATTTGCTTTGTTTTATGTCGTTTATTAAAAAGAATATACTGTCTTTTGTTTTCCTGTTTCTTTCATTTTTATTTTTATGTCGATTCATGCTGAAATATTCCTTTTTCCTCTTATGTTTATCAATTATATATAAAATTATGACTGACAATTATATATGAATGCAGTGAAGGGCCAATCAAAGTGCGACGTGTGCAACAAGCCTTGCAAAGGGTATGCATACAGATGCAGCGCATGCAGCTTCCAAATGCATCCATGTTGTGCGATGCTTAAAACAGAAATGAGTTTATTGTTGGCGCATGCCCACACGCTGAGGCTGCAACCAGCGGATCAGCATAACAACGACGTGCACTGCGGAGAATGCAATAGAAAGAGGTCGTCAGGCAGGGTTTACCACTGCACTTACTGCGGTTACCACATCCACGCAGTTTGTGCCAAAGACTTCATCAATGGTCTCCGTGAAAACGGCATCAAGCCTATAGAAAAACCCAACAATATGCTCGGCACTGCTGCTCGCCTCGCCTCTCAGGCAAGATCAACGGCAAAAAAACAAAAAACAAAAAAAAAAAACTACTGATATTTTCATAGATACCGATCGATCCATGTATTCCTAATTTCTTTAAACCTTATTTTCATTGGTTAGTCTTAATTAAATTTCCTGATCAGGTGATGATTGACTTCATTGGAGGGCTGATTGAGGGTCTGGCTGAAGGTGTTGGACAAGTCATTGTTCAGGATGCTGCCAAGGGAAGGTCCAACGCTGCCAGAAGATCAGGAAATTAATAACAACAATAATAATTATTAAATCATCTTTATCAATTATCAATATCATCGTATTTTTGTTATTGTTATGCAGATGCGCTTTTGATATTTCTACTAAAAGGACCAGATATATTGATCCGGCTTTATTCATATATTTCTGGGTTGTACAAATCACTGCTCTATGTAACCTGATCGACTATGTTTAAATTTAGGGTGTCACGTATAGTATAGTTGATGCATGAGCCTCTGGATATATTCAAATATCTTCAAGGATATCGAGATTGCAAGTGAAGAACGCGTGAATTTGAAGCGACAAGAAAACTCGTCAATTTATTCCGACTTTGTGAGCTTGTTATACTAGTCGTGTTGTTTCATGTGTATTGCAGATATATTTGACAAGAAATATGTAGCTTTGCAAAGCTCTCTGTTTGGCCTGAAATTGAAGCTATATGAAGCATATTAATCTCCAGAAGTGATTAATAGCTCTATGATGAGCCCTTTTTAATTCCACACTTATTTCCAGATGGGTCAAAGAAATTGATGCTTTCAGCAAGAGAAAAAAAAAAAAAAAAAACAGAGAGGAAATTGATTGGAGACGATGAAAAAGTCAATCATAGATAAAGGAAAAAAAGAGTACCAAGATACATAAAGAGCAGGCCTCCAAAAGAATACAGGAAATCTATCGAGTTAATTGAATTTTAAAATAATCAAATAAGTCGGATGGAGACAAAATGGGGAAAATACACTAAGAGGTCGGAAGATATAAGAATACACGCGTCCTCTTAATATACCTGAAACAAAAATATCTCTCTATTCAGTTGTACAACAGTGTCACTTTTGTGATTGATCTCCGGATCAACCTTACAGTGACGAAATCAATACACAAAGTAACTTGGGGGCTTTTCTATATCCATAAACTGTAAGGAAGAATAAAGGTGTAAAAGCTGGCGGGGGGAGAAAAAACAGGGTAAAAATGCAAATAAATTAGTCAAAACCTTTAATAACAGTGGAATTTTTCATGCTCCTCGGCCTTCCTCTTCCTTCATATTGTGGTTCCCAAATTTTCGATTTTTCACTTCAAGCTTCGACGCTTCCGATAAAATGAATTTTGACCCGGATCTCTCATTCACATACAGTATAAGTATACACTCCAAAGGGCGAAAAAAAACGACCAAAAGAAATAATCACCTATTTGCTTCCAGAGGAAAACGACCTCAAGGGCCAAAATCAAGATACCAAATATTAGGCTGTAACAACAATCTCGAGCCGCCTGACTAGCGTCATACTCAATCTCTCAGGTAGGTCGATGCCGATGCCGATGCCACAGCCAATGCAACTCCCAACTATATGCTGGGTCCCACGTAAAACCATTTCCTCTAAACCTTCCAGAGCAATGGAGCATTGACAGAGAACTTATACCTGGCCTGCACTCTTGTGAGCCAGCCCAAGTTCTTTCATAACCCATAACATATTAAAGATTAAATCGTGCCGTAATCCAAGTTCTCCCACTTGAAGGGAGCAACAGAGCCAATGTCTGGAAGGCCTCGCAAAAACAGGCAAACGCAAACACAGACAGCAGCAATCGCAAGCATCGAATGAACATATGGACGCTGCAGCAGACCTTGAGCACCGGGGACCCTCTTGTAGTGTCTTGTTGCAGCAACGGCACACTTGGCGCAAGACTTCCTGCTTTGTTTAAATTCAGTACTCATCCCATTTCCAATTGTCACAGTAATTTGACCACTTATCTTTTCAGCAAGTTTCCGAGCCACCAGCATGTTATAAGACTGGTTATTTGTCATCAAAGCATAAGCATATGGAGACTGCCCATTAGCATCCAGAAGGGAATTCCAAGAATTAAATCCAATCTACAGAAGGGAACCAAACAAAATATTAGATAAAATTTGAAAACACAATGCGGTATATTTATGCTGTTGTGGAAAACTGTTAAAAGTTGAACAGAAGCTACCTCCTGTGGGTCGTTTGTTAAAGCATCAATCAAATCGTCTGAAGCCGACATACAAGCAGCCAAATGCAGAGGTGTAATGCAGCCAGGTCCGGCATGATTTGGTGGAAAAATATACTTCTTAGAGACAAAATTAGAGCCAATCACCGAGTAATTGATAAGTAAGTCAACCATCTTCCTGCACCTCCTTTTTACCGCCCGGTGCAAGAGCTGAATCTCAGAAAGCATCTCCACTGCATCCCCTGATAGTTCATTCCCATCTAAATTTCTTTCTATCAGCATATCCAGAAGCGTTTTGATCAAAGCAGAACAGTTTTTGTCAACAGAAAACGTGAGCAAAAACTTGAAACGGCCAAGGGAATAATCAGGACCATCGGGAATGGAAGAGGCCCTTTTACGTTGGAACAGCCATCCAAGTTCATTCAAGAAAAGAAGAACTTCCTCCTTCGACCTCGGCCGGCCTTCATCGGCATTTTGGTCTTCTGCAATCACCTCACTAACTTTTGCCTTCCCATCGAACACGGACTCAAGGATTCTCAATTCTTGACAAATAGAAGCATCAGCTACTATCACTGGAAAGCTATTGCCCTTCAAACCATTTTCCACCTGTTTATAATAGCAACAAAGGTCTAACTACGAAAAAATAGGGAACTGTATTTTTAGATTTTACAAAAAAGCAAACTAAGGGCAATACACAATTATTTGACTGCTACCTCGATGAAACAGCGACCGAGAACACCAGGAGATGCATCATGAATTTTAAAACCACACAAGTTTATCTCCTCATACATGGTGCCATGAGAAGTTGATCCTGTAACCTCCTTTGTTGTGTAACCACCCATGTAGGTGCAATGGATCCTGAAAGGTTGTGAACTGATGAGTCAGGAAATTGTCACAGATAATAACAATGCAAAACTGCACCAAGGACACATTTACCAAACGGTAAAAGAATGTAATGGGAAACGTAATGGGATTGGAAAGGAAAGTGAAGTGTTTACTTGACTATTTGATGGTGTAATGGGAAACAATCTCATACTCTTTCTTATGTTTACTAAAAATAGGAATAGCAATGTTATGAATGTAATCACTAAAATGTCATTTTACACAATTTTATAATTATGCCTTGTATAGTAATTCTTTAAGGGTAGATTAAGTAAATTTAGCATTCATTCCCTTTGACAAGGAATCAATACTTAAGGGGGTGCAAGGATTAACATTTCCTTTTCTCATTCCCTATATTGTGTGGGGCCCACTAACTCTCCATTACTAATTTTGTAAGTAAACACATTATTAGATGGGAAAGGGAATCACTCCTCACTTTCTCTTTCCCTTTCCCTTTGATGCAAAGTAAACATGCCTGGGAAGTAAGCCGAAAACTGAATTTTCCCTTTGATGCAAAGTAAACATGCCCCAAAAGTATTGTACTTACTTGGTGCCAAGATTACTGAGATTTCTTCCCTTCAATATAAGGGTAGTTTCCTGCCCACCCACAATTGCCAAAGGGGAAACAGAGATCAACTCTGGGGAACTCCATGTACTCCATGATTTGGATATTCTAACCTTCCCTGAACATTCATTTCACAGAAACAAACATCAAGAAGCTAATCATGTCCGCACTTGCATGATGAATGATCCATTGAAACACAACCTATTTCTGATGTATTAATCAATAATAAAACTACAAGCCACCCTTTAAGATTCGTGCTTACCATCTTTATGGGATGCTATTTGCCTGCCTGTATGAACCAAAAACCTTCCACTTCTCCAGAAATCAGAAGCTGAACTCTGTACCAAAGAATTGAGATGCTGAAGCAGGTTATCTTGAAGCTGCAAAAATGTAAAAATAATAATAAATAATTAAAATCAGAGACCCGTTCCAAGTGATCGGAAGTTAACTAACTACAGAACTGAGATCAAAGAGTTGCAAAATCTACTCACTTGTTCCCATGCAGAAGATGGCATCGAGACATAAACTGATATAATGACACAACCAGGCCGTATGTAGCTCTCCATCTCTGACGGACTGTTCGAAAGCCAATTGAAAATCTGGGAAAGGAAACATTTTCAGAAAAAGAGTTGAGCGTTGCAATATATCATCTTAGTAAGGAAGATGCGAGAAAATAACAGCAGCTAGCCAAAGCCCAAAATAAACAATAAACTCCACACCTGTGTCCTCAACGTCCCAGGTAAATGACTTGGATCCTTATTGAACAGTTTAAACATTATTCTTCCAGTGCGATCCTGTTAAGGACAACCATGACATTAGCTCCATTCAATAAAGTGTATTCATTTACCAATATAGTGACTTAGCAGTAAATACATAGAAATGTTCGTGAGTGAACACATGATAATATTAACAGTAATAATATGTACTGGAAACACCACCTGCACATCTGAATTCAGGCTAGAAGGTGAATGATCTGACCCGGAAGAAGTGTACCCAGCGTGATGGGGAACACTTAGAGTGGAACCAGCATCGTTTCCTTTATTTGACCCTCCGAATAGGTCAAAGGGCATGTTACAACCATGAATCCTGCTAGAGTCAACGTGAACATTAACCTCTCTGCCTGCTGATATCTTCTCAGACTTGACAGTTTCTGCCATGGTCTGCATTGGAAACAGCTTTTGCACCACAGGAGAAGAGGAAGGAGATCTCTCTTCAATGGGATTACTGCTATCAGAAGAGAAATACTTCCTACTAGATGCCAGTTTCGGTGGGCTGTCGTTCTCCGGTGACGAGCTAAAGAGTTGTAATGGCAAGTTAACTCTCGTTTCTTGAACCTGGCAATCCGAATCCTCCATAGGTGACTGGTAGCTGGTGCTACTTCTATCTCCTCCAACTGAAGGAAATTCTTGTGGTGATTGCTTCTGCAAAATGGGACCACTGGCCTGGTCATTGCAGTTCATCTTAGTTTTTCCGCTGTCGCTGCTGTAGCTGCTCCTTTGAGATAAAACTGCAAGAGAATCAGGCGCAGATGGTGCTAGAGTAGCTGAAAGGACAGCAAGTAAGTCCATTGTAGACTGAGATGTTCTTCCATTCAATTTTTCGTGATGATCCGACGATGTTTGTTCTGAAATTTTCCTATTCAAACTTGCCAGATCATGCAACTTTGCAGCAAGGTCCACAGGCAAAGGTAAAGAGTTTATCTTACTAAGAATCTGAAGGAGCTGCTCTTTGTCCGGTAGCTGAGAGCAACTAATATTTTTCTCCTCGTTTTTCCCTATTATAGTCATGGCAAACAAATTTAGCACAACATTTTTGGAGCATTAAATATGTGAACACTAAATTTAGTAACTACGGATATAGCTCAGCAGTAAATCCACGCCCACTTCCAACGTGGGCATTGGAGAAAAATTGTATCCACCCCCTCAACTCTAAACGTTGAGGTTTAGAGTTCGAATCAACACTATTTTTTTTTTTTTTTGAATAATTGAATACACTAAATTTAGTATTCCATGATTTGGAACATAATCATACATCAGCGCCAGAATATAATAATCATTTACCTTGTGCACGAGCGACAGCAGCCAATAAGTTAAAGATATCTATATGCCCGTTGCTTCTATTATCTCGGTCACCAGGGAGAATTAGCCGGGAGGCAACGTCCTCTGGTTGGGTTTTCCTCCTTCGTCGGTTGTGCCCAGCAAGTCTTCTTCTACAACTTCTCTTGCCTTCGTCAAACTCAGAAAGGGGATGAAACCTGCAGTACGCAACGAAGACATGATTAGTAACCACGGGGAGCAGAGAGAGATAAAGATGATGCAACCTGTCATTTCCGAAAAGAGCAAATAATCAACCTAAGGGGCCTCATTTGGTAGGAGGGAAGAGTAGAAGTAGGAATTAACATGGAAGGGGCGGATAGTTATTTGGAAAGAGGAATTAGAGGAGGAAATATATTCGGTTAAAGATTGAAAATCTCTATGACTAAAGCTGGAAAAACTAGATGAAAAAATCTGAGCAAAAAGTGAAAAATCCTCCCAATCCTCTTTGTTTTCCTCCCCTAAATACTATACCTTTCTTCCTTTACCCCTTACTAAACACAGCCTAAATCAACAGCGAGGCTTTTACTTACTTGAATAATCAGCAAATTTAAACACAAACTCATAATAGATCAAGAATTACTAGCAAAAAAAATTTCATCAGGGAAAGAATCACCTGCTGCACTGCTGACAGAACCTCTGCATCTGCTGGGCAACAAGAGCTTTAGTGGACTTACTATGGAGCTCACACACCTTGTGTCGGCGGTGATAGTCCTTGGCGTTCGACAGATCTTCCTTGCAGTTGTCCACCTGGCACATCGGATACGTGCTGTTCCCGGGAGAACCGGACCGGACTCTTTTCGTCGGCCTGGAGACGACGGCCGGTTCCTCCGAACGCGCCGCAGAGATCAAGCCGCAGCCGAGATTCAACCGGAGCCTCTCGTCGTCTTCGTGTCCGGCGGCGACCGGAGCTTGTTCCTGTCTCTTCTTCTCGTCAGAATCGAGGGGTTTGGCGACGAATCTGACGGCGTCCCAGTCCCAGAGCTTAGGGTTCCAATTTTGCTGAAAATTGGGGGTCGGATGATAAGGGAGATCCCGCTTCTTCGCCGCCGTCATCACCGGCGGCGCGTCGCGATACCGACTGGTGAGGGTTTGGTGGATGAATATCGGAGCGGCGACTTGGGCGCCCACCTCTTCCATCTCCTTCCCCAAAAACAGAAACAAAAAAAAAAATCGATTCTTTCTTTCACACAAGAACACCCAGTCAATCAGACTTTTCAATTCCTGAAAATTTTCTCGACTATTCTACCTCAAAGTCAAAGCAAATTCGGCAATTCTTTTCTCCATCATGGATTGAAGTTTCCGGAGCAATCAATTTCAAAAATCGAGCGTAAATTTCTACATATGCATACCTGATTCTTAACTGAATCGCCTACCGAGAGGAGAAAAATCAGCTCCATAACTTTCCCTAAAAAAATCCAAACTCCATCCACACAGAAATCTTCTTCTCAACCTCCCTCAAAAATCAGAAATCTATTACTCCGATCGGAAAATCTGTCTCCTCCAACTCCGATCTAACCGCAGAGAAAAAGGATCGTAATTCAACGTGTAAACACAGGGAGAAAATCTGCTCAAGTCTTCCGCAGAACTTCTTCTTCTTTTTTTTTCCTTTTATTATTTCTCTCTCTCTCTCTATTTTCTTTTTTTTTTTCCTTTTTCTTTTTCTCGTAACAAACTTTCTTTGTCTGCTCTCTGTGTGTGTCTTAGAGGGAGTTGGGGCAAAAACCGTAAATTGAAGCAACGCTGGGGTTTTAATGGGGAGTGGACCGTACCATACACCCATCGAAGAATCCAAGACCTTTCCTCATTTTTAATCCTCTTTTTTTTTTTTTCGTTTTTCTTTTTAATTTTAATTTCATTCTTCTCTTTTTTGCAGAAGATCTTTTGGAGTACTTTTTCTTTTTTTGCTTGAAAAAGAAAATGTTGGAATTGTTTTTGGAATATTTACAATGGAAGATGATAAAAGTGAAAAGGGTTTGTCGATTTTGTCTTAATATTGTTTTGCAGACTGAAAATTATTTTTCGGTTTCTTTTTCTTTTTTTCTAAATGAGAAACAGAAATATAAAAAAGTGTTTCCTCACTTTTTTATCCTTGTATTTTTTTTTTTGACCTATTTTATAGCACTAGTAAATATTACAGAACTGCTAAAATACAATTGATAAATCTAGTTACAGTTAAGAAAGTAACATATAGTTCACAATGTCATATATTGGAAAGCATACTAGTAAATTTATGACATTTAGCGTAAAGAACCGCAAACATATATATATTTTTTTGTTTTATTACAGAACTTTTATAATATTTCGTTGCGTCTAGTTACAGTTAAGAAAATATATTAGATTGTAAACAATTTCACTTTTTTAAGTGGTCATTACAAAAAAAAAAAAACAGAGAGAGAGAAGAAAATAGAGATTATTGTGCACTTTACGTAAAGCCCATTTAAGAAAAAGATGAGGAAACAAAATTGGCAGCTGAAAACATCAACAACAATAATAACAAATGCGGAAAGAAAACTCCACAAGGCTTAACCACAACTTTGCCCTCTGGCGCTCGAGTCTCGACTACTAAAATTAACATTTTTTTTGTACTTTTAATTAATTAATTATATACATTATCAAATACTAATGTTTGAGCATTGGCGTGAGCATTGTATTGTGACCGTCGTATCATTTTCTATCCATTTTGATGGCGTTAATGTCTTTTTTTTTTATTCGGATCATAGTTCGTAATTCGCTACAGTATTTTCTCTCGTAAAAAACACACGTAAATTAAAAATGATTATTAATTATGATTCTAAATTTATAAACTAAACTAAAATAAACATCCCATTAATATTTGCATGGGCAGAAAATGACCACCTAATTAAGAAACGTAGACAGTGAAGTGGGGAGAAATTGAACACTTTTTCTTTTTTCTTTTGTTAAGTGACGTTAATTTCTCCTTTTGTATCGGTAGTTTTGCCCTCTTAATATAAAACAAATTTTCTTTCGAAAATAAATAGGTTATGACTAGATAAGAGTAAGGCTGTATATATATGTGTGTGTGTACACATATTTGAAGGGGCTTGAGATTTTTAAATGAAAAAATAAATAGTTGTGGCACAAATCACAAAGAAAAAAGTAATAACAATGGTGGATTGAAAATGCTAACCTCAAATTCACATAAGGCGGTTGAGGATTATGCACTATCTAGATGTGTAATCCTCCCATGCAAAGTTATTATAATGAAAATGTAGCAAAATAGTGAGAATTGAAAGAAAGAAACAAACAAAGAAGGAAAAAAAAAGTGTATGGAGAGAAATGGTAAGGAGTGGTTGGAAATGGACGATGAAAGTGGTCCCAGGCCCCAAAGGTCGCAAAGTCAGGGTTAAGTCCGTCAAAGATTTGGTGCTTTTTCTAACTCCATTTATTTTCTTGGTGTCTAATGGTTATCTTTCTTTCTTAATTAATTTAATGAAAATAAAAAGGTCCATTAGTTGCTTGCTTCCTAGAATAAGAACAAGTAGAGAGAGGGGGAAAAAAAAAAAAAAAAAACATCGAAATGAAACCGCGTGGTTTGGTGTCGTGGGCGTCACGTAAATGCCCCCCCTATTACCATTAGGCATTTTACTATTAGGCATCCTTTTCATATTTTCACACTCCCGCATTCTCATGGCAGCCATTGGCAATGGATGATCATGTTGATATTATAAAAAAATAAATAAATAATAAAAACATAATAAACAGAATTAAAACAAAAACAAAAAATAAGAAAAGGAAAAAAAAAATCCGCCAATGGCAATGGGATGATCAGGTTGATGTTAGAAGTAATTGTTGATGATCTGGTTGATGTTAGAAGTAATTGTTGATGATCATGTTGATGTTCATGTGGGACTTCTCTTCTTGTCCGGACAGCAACGGTACTACTAGTGTGTGGGAGTGGGAACCAGCTGTCTTTCAAGTACATTGCATTTTCCAATTTGCCAATTTCCCATTTCCCATTTGGCATTTGTCATTTGCATCTTTCTCTCCTCCACTCCCTCCTTTCCTCCTATTCCTATTCTATCATTCCATTGGATTACAATTATTAGATTCCCATTTCCATTTCTGCCAAACCCTCCAATTCCTATTCAACCCGATCAAAACATAAACTATAGAAATCGAAGATGCCCAGCCCAATTATTTTTTGTTTTTGTTTTGCTAAATTTTAACTATATGCGTAATAGTATTATAAAATCATCACAAACTAAAATAAAATATAAAACTAACGATATTTTATGCGCTCTGATATCTTTTAATGTGTTCTTCTCGTAATTTATGGCCTAATTTATTTTATTGATTTAAATTTTTAATTTTAATTTTATTATAATTAACAAATTTTATAAAAAATTATATCTAATTTTTTTTATTTTAATTAAAAATTTTTACATAAAAATCAGACGTAGAAGACAGGCCCTAGAATGAAACAACGTCAGAGTCATGTACTACTGTAGTTTGGAATGTGATTGTGTGAGGCCGCAAGCTGTAAATAGTTGTACTGTCCTTCCTTTTTTTTTTTTTTCCTTCTTTTTGCTCGTTGAATAGCTTATGGCTGTGCTGTACTTGGATTGCCAATTACGCAATGAAAAATAAAAATGAAAAAGAGTATTATAAAAATAAGGAGCCAAGTTGGAGTTCATAGGGTTTCCCTTTGGAATCTGATTTAAGCAAAGGACCACATACCTATACATAAAAATATTATAAACTGGGTAATTTTTATTTGTTGGTTGTATGTAAATCAAAGTCATGGCAAAGACGAATTTGTCAATTCACCAATGTTAAATGCTAAAATTATTTAGCGAATATAAATATAATAACGTCATGATAGGTTGTAAAAGAAATATCTTACTGGTAGGACTTTTGAATAGTTAGATATGTCGGTTAGTTTTGCACGCTAATGTTTCGAAACATACACACTAATGTTTAAAAACATGCAATACTATCTTATCATAGAAAGCTCAAAAAATATCTTAAAAATTGATCATGTATCCTTTCCCTAAAAAGGAAATAATTATTTAACATTGTTAGGTTCTATTCACACACATCTCTTTACTCTCCACACACCATTTTTTATTGTAATTTCTTATTAGAAAAAAAAAACTCTAATGTAAAATGACAAAAAAAGCCGATTATAATATAATTAATTAGACAACTAAATTTTAGTATAAAATAATGATATTTTATTGTACATTTTGTATTTTAAAATTTTTAATCATACCTCAATAATATAATAACTTTGTTGCCTTATTTTTTATTTATTTTTATTTCTTGAATCATATTACTATCTATTTTATATTTTGGAGTATCTTTTATGTTTTCTAAACAAATATTTTAATAAAATTTCTTCCTTTAAAAAAAAAAGGCATCATGCCTACAGCTTCAACTAAAAAATAGAAAAATAATGCTAAAATAGAAAATTGAAATAAATAGTGGGTGTGAAAAGAAAATTGAAATGATCAAGAATTAATAATCCTATGAAAATAGTTTGGGGCAATTTTAGAATAATAGGAGTATGTAGAAAGTAAAATTTAACCATTTTAAAATTATGTGGGGTGTGTGTTTAGAATGGGGTGTGGAGAGTAAAAGAAGATGTGCGAGTAGAACCACCCTATAAATTATGATGAGCATTACAATTTAGCAGTCCAAAATTCAATTTGGTTGTAATAAATTAGATTTTATTGAATTGTTTTATGTTATGATGTGTTTATTTAATTTATAATTTTATAACGATAATATGTTTTTTTCAAGAGTCCTATATTAGAGGTGAAAACATAGTCTTAATTCATAAATTTCGACACTTATAGTTTGGATTGGGTTGGATGGCTTTTAGATTGGTAAGGGATTGAAGCTTTTCCAATTCAAATGTTTTGTTGGTTGGTTTATAAACCAACCCCTAATTTGTAAAACCCAATCCATAAATAACCTGATAATGTGTTAAATGAGATGGCCCTTTTTTATTTCAGTTTTTAGGATGTAAGGTTTGGATTCACTATCTATATCTCACTGATAGGACAATGTAAAACAACTAATTTGATATCCTTCATAAGGTTATATGATTATGAATTGTTTGTGCAAATATATGAAAATAAATAGCCAAAATTTGATACATTTTATGCATTCATAATTAAACGGCGCATAAATAAATAAATTCCTATGAAAAAAAAGGTACATTGATGTAGATGTGGCTAAAAATGTGAATAGAAATTGGAGGTATAATTGCTCCGTTGGAGGATGCAAAAAGCGGTTTAGACGTTTGGATGTGTGAAAAATTGTTGAGGATTCGAATTTTTAATTATAATTTTATTATAATTAAAAGTTCTTATAAAAAAATATGTTTAAGATTACTTTTAAAACTCTTAAAAACACTTTATACAATAAACGATGCAATTATAGTATTTAGTAAAAGTATATAAAAGTAAATTGCACACAAATTAATACACTTTTTAAGTTATTTTAAGAAGTTAGAATGCATAGCTTTTAGATTTAACTTATGTTTCTGCTTTTATTTTAAGTAAAAGTAGTGATTCTATTAAAAGCGCAATAATTATTTTAAAGGTACAACAACTTTAAACTGACCCAAAGTTACATATAATGTTTCTGTTATTATTAAAAATTATCATAAAGTCACATCTCAGTTCGAATTAAAAATTTAAATTGGTGAACTGAACGAGTTAAATTAATATCTTTTTCATAGAACCATTCCCTAATACAATGCTATATTTAACACATTCAATATACACTTACAAAAAAGCATCACATACGGTATATATTAGCACCAAGTATAAAATCATTAAAATTTAATATTTTAACACATAATATTGTCATTTTAATTTATTTCATACAAATTTCAAAACTTTAATTTCTAAAGTAATAAATTACAAAAGTATTTTCCTCTTTTTTTTTTCTTATTTTCGTCTAAAAATGGAGAGGCACTACGACTTAGTTTGGTAGTGCTGTAGATTTTGAAAAAATTACTTTTAGTTGTGTTGAAGGAAGAAGCAACTGTAACAAAAAGCAGCTGAGTGTTTGGTAACCTATAATTATAGTATCTGTGATGGTTCCAAAATCAATGTAATAACGTTTGATAAATTATGAAGTTAAATTGCTGTAGATAGTTAAAATTACGATTATATTATATTATACTATACTATAATATATATAATTACAATATAATATATATTTATTATTATATTTAATATAATAATAAACTATTATTATATAATTATGATATTATTTGTTATAATATTATATTATATTATATTATATTATATTATATTACGAGTTTGAATTTTAGATTGAAAAGTATGTAAATTTTAAATTTGAATAGGGGTATTATGAATATTATGAAAGTTTTATTAATTGTACTATATTGATTCGTGCACAATATAAATTATTTCTGATTTTAACTATAGATTCTTCAAAAAAATTTAAAAAAATATTTTTAAAAAGATTTATTAAACACTAAAATTAACTTCTGTTATAAATAAAAACTGATTTTAAAGGGAAGATAATACCAAATTAAGCCTGCATATGTATATGGAAGAAAGAAGAAAAGATTCCATGGTTGCTATTTGAATGGTACAAGTAGACTAAGGTCTCGTTTATTTTGTCGATTCGAGTTTAAAATTTAAGTTTTATTATAGTAAAAAGTTCTCAGAAATAGTCACATCTAACTTTTTTATTACAATAAAAAACTCTTATATAAAATTATATTTTAATTTAAATTATAAACTCAAATTAATAAAGTGAACGGACTTGAGTGGAGACGAGTGGACCAAACCGATGGTGTACGACTCGATTCAGTGTCAAGTCTCAACCCACGTGCATTGTGCACCCCTCTCTCTCTCTATCTCTCTCTAGTATGTACGGAAACATGATAAGTTTGATAACATCACATCCCAAGACAAATTCTTGAGATTTTTAGGAAAAAAGCAAAACAAAAAACAAAAAACAAAAGTGGGGGTGGGGCTGGTGGGGGTGTCTAGCTTTTAACCTGGCTACTGCACGTGTTCCGCGTGCTACTAATAGTAGAGCCCGATACTGAAAAGGCTCATCAGCCCAACCACAAGGACGCCTTCAACTGTCGACGGACGCCCTGTTTTTAAAAAGGCTATCGAGTTTTTGCTTTTAATTCTCTTACCCTTCTATTCCTGAGACAATGCAATACTTATTTTATATTGAATTTTAAGAGTAATCTCAATATTTTTATTTTTTATTTTTAATCGAATAATTATACTAATAAAAGAATATTAATAAGAATAAAAAATAAAAATTTAGACTTATAAGAGTAAATTTTCTGATTTTCATTTTTTTTTTTAAATAAACTCTAAAATCATTGAACTTAGTATTCTTCCAAAGGCCCAAACTAATTAGGCCAAGAATTTAGCGCACCTTGAAATTTTAGAGCGTATAAAATCAGAATCTGTTGGTTGGTTTGGACATTGGAAAAAACAGACTGGTTTGCTAGTGTAAGTAGGTTAGTGTACAGGGAAAAGGTCTGGAATTTTTGTAGCCAAATTAAGCTCTTTGCAAGAGTTTTCTTCCCTTGAAGATGATTTCTTTTTTGCTGAATACTTAAAAGATATGCAGAAGACGGCAATCATTATCCATGCGTTCTAAACCACGTGAATTACCTTAAACATCTTGCCAAATTCCTTACTCTTAAGTTCACTTCTTACATTAGGAGTAAAAATATTAGAGCAACATTATAATTTTTCAATTCTACAGAATTTACAGTCAATATAAATGTATTTATAATGCTGTTGAGTAAAAATATTAGAGCAAAATAATAATCTTAGTTCTACAGAACCTACAAAGTCTGAACATACATATACTTATAACGACGACGATGATAAAAATTTTCATAATGATATCAATTATGAAACGAAAGAAAAGAAGTGTTCCCAACAAAGTGTAGTAGTAGCCTTTATTATATGCCTTTCATTTCGCAAGGGCCAAAACCAATCCAATTCGGTCTCTCATATCGCTTTCTACAACATTACCCAATCCAATCCTAACTACCAAAATAAAATTTGTTTATTAGCAACAAAAATGGAATTTCTTGCTTCTCACTTTAAACTTCATATAAGAAAAACGTGAATAACAACAAAAACAATAAAAATAACTCAATCATTTATATAACTCGCTGCAGTTCAAAGAAATGAAAGAAAAAGAATTGCTTTTATGGTAACCGAATGCAAGCTAGAGGAAAACAAATCCTGAGAAAGACGCACCAAAGAATTAGCATCTATATATTATAATAGTATAATATTATCGTGTATATGATGAATATGTTATATGATATATATGTATCTCTCTATGGGAATGTCCCACCAAACTGTGTTTTATCAGATGTAATCAGAATTCAGAAACCGAACCATTGCATGAAGCTGGGCCAACAAAAGAACAAGGCCAAAACAATGGCGACTGCAAGAGTCACCCACATCCATGGCTGCATCCTTGTCTTGCCCCTGTTTCGGAGCGGCGGTGGCATTGCCACGGATCTTGTTCTGCTCTGCTTTGTAAACTGCTGTGCTTTCTGAGGCCTCTTCATTACTGTCGCAGGTTTCTCAGACTCTGGCTGAGCTCCATTACTAGGAATTTCTGAGCTTGGAGTCGGAGCACATTCTATTCCATCCTCATTTCTAGTCTCTATTCCGTTTGCTTTCTTTTTTTCCTTCTTCCTAGCCCTCTTTTCCCTCTCCTGGACCATGTCAAAATAAAAGAAAAATTATACATCAAGCAACAAAAAAGCTTTGACACACCCACACATATAAATATAAAATACTATAATTACTTATGATTCATGAAATAGAAGTAAAAATCCTGTTTTAGATCGCAGTGCTCATTGCTCACTAGAAGTAGTAAAATACTTAACTACTCAGAAGCCTAGTCTAGTTGTGAAATTTACCTTCTCTTTCTCTTCAGCTTCCTTCTGTGCTTTAATTGCAGCCCTGGTCTGGGCCTTCTCAGCAATTCGTTTCTTCCTCTCCATTGCTTCCTTAGCTTTGGCCCTCTCCTCCAGCTTGCGCTGCTCCTTCAACTTAGCTGCTTCCTCTTCTTTTCTCAATTCCTCTGCCTTCCTGGCCAGCTCCTCTTCCTCCTTGCTCCGTCTAGGCTGCTCTTCTTCTTCTTCTTCTTCTTCTTTCTCTTCTTCTCTCGCCTCCTCTTTCCTTTCATCCTCACCAGAAATAGTTACAGGCCTAGTCCCCGACAAAGACGCAAGTTTTGCAGGCTTCTTGGTTTTAGCCGTTTGGTTCTCTCTCTCCACAACCTTGGCACCGGATTTAGCATCATCTAGTTTCTCATCTTTTGCGGGCACGTATTGCTTTTCTTGTTCGGGAATTTTGGTTAATGACACCGAGTTGTCCTTGGTCGCTCTGTTATTTATAACAATAGCATCAGGTATAACAGGTGGCGCCTCATCAGGGCCAAGCGATCGACCATCCAATGTTCTCAGCCGCCTAAGTGTACTCCTTGTGTTGTAGATCATGTACTCTCTCCGGAAATCATCATTTCTGTTCCAGAGTTCCATAACTGTCTCCAGCTAAATAATTGATTATAGTTGTTTAGTTAATACGCTTGAGTTGACTAATAATAAATACTAATAACATATCAAATTCTACGAACACACCTGATCATTGCAAAGATGTTGCAGTTGTTCCTTATCTCCACTCAACGCTAACTTCTGGGCTGCACTTAAAGCGTCCTTATACCTCCAAAAATGCTTGTTCTGGAAATTACACGAAAAAAGGGGTCAGTTATTTCAAAATCACAACCCACCCACTCCACAGGTAAACCGTAAAATCATGTGATAACTGAAGAATGAAAAGCTCTTTCATTTAAAATATGATAACTGACAAAACCACAAAAATAGCAAAGGCATGAATCCTCAATCCCCACCGCTATTGCTTTCACATACTCAAACATTTTCGAAGGAATCTGGAAAAGCAAAAATTAGGAGGAGAAAAAGTTGAGCAAATATAAAAAGCAACGTACCCTTTCATATTGTTGTTTCTTCAAACTCTGTAAATGTGCATATGCCTCTTGACGAACATCATTTGCATCTCTAAACTGGTATACCAATTCATTCAGCTTCTCGTTTTCAACCTTAGATTTCTTCTTAGCAGTTTGTGTAACTTCCTCAGCTTTGGTGAGTTTTTCTCTTTGTGAATCCAACTCTTTCCTCAAAACCTGTAAGGATGGAAAATCAGAAAATTTTCAGCTCCTCAACCATCTTCAAATTCCATATTTTTCTTGTTTATTGAATATGCCTCACGCATTAGTTACACAAGTAGAAAGAAAATAGAAAGTAAAACTATGTACCTTCGAGTGCTCTTCAATCTGGTCTTTCTGGTCCAAGGCCTGTAGAACTTCACCCTGCTTACCCACGTTAGAAGAGATATGTTTGCATTGTTGCTGTAACTGTTCGATTTCACGAATTATGTGCTTTTCTTCCTTCAAAGGCAGGGTTTCATGTTCTATTCTGTTTTTCATACTGCGTATCTGTACATGAGCAACAATTTAAAGAAGACATACACAATAAAAAATACATCAATTTTGAAACCACAGAGATAAATCTAGCAGTATCATTAATCTCTCAGAAAAATAGTGAAAGAAAACTATACCTTTTCCTGAATATCCCCAACTGATTGTGCATTCTTTACTTTGTCTATCACAGATTGAACGGAATCTAAGCGCTGCCTTGTTGACTTAAACGAGTCTCGAGCAGCTTTCTCCTCCGTTAAGCAAGCCTGAACCTTGTCAGAACACTCCTTATGAATGACCTGATCAAATAAGAAGATTTCATAATGTTTAGTAAAAGAACAGGAAAAAACCTTCAATCCAGATGTGCTAGGGGATCATTTGCATAGATTCTTACCCTTTGCTTCTGAACTTCGGCATAAATAGCCTCCCGGCTTTTAGTCCTCTCTTCAACTTGTACCTTGGTATGTTCAATCTGTTCTCTTAAATTTCCGTCATCAAATCTCGGAATCTTAATCAAATATAATAGCCTTTTTCCCCCTTCAACTGCCGCATTCTGTCCTTCCAAAGTATTATCCGGGAGAGTTGTTGAGGCTTCTTCGTCCTTCTGATTTCCATCAATATCCACATTCTGTCCTCCTAAATTTTCTTGGACCGATTTTGGCGTTTCATCCGTCTGTTTCCCTTCAAAACACTCAGCTTCTTGACAAGTTGATTTCAATTCTTTTCCTACATGTTCAAAATCAAGGTCACCATCTGCTGCAATTCCACTGTCCTTGTCATTGAGTGCATTATCAACTTCCGACTCTAGTTCAATGGAAGTATTAGACATATGCTGATTGTCCCCACATTCAAGGCTCGTGTTTGAGATAGCAGATTCTACATCTATGGCATCAGCAGATGCTTTCTCTTCACCTCCATTGGAAGCACCGCAGGACTCGGGATTGGAAATCACACCATTAGCAGCACACTTTGACTCGGCATCATTCATAACAGGACAATTCTGAGTCTCAACAGGACAAGAATCATCCGGGTTTTCGATGCTTTCTTGATTCGACTCTCCAGTATCAATCTCTGATGTCACATCCTTAGTAGGCAAGCTTTGACCACTTTCAAGAGCTACATAGCTGCAAATCGAAGAAGAGGTCAAGCTTTCGGAATTTTCAGAAGGCCCAATTTGTTCGGTAACAACAGCAGTCTCTGAAAGACTCTCCTGAGCAAGGCCAGGAGGCAAGTCCTCTCCATTTTGTTCCAATAAAGGACCCTTAAAAACTGCTGTTTCTAAGGTTTTATCAACTCCAGTACTCGAAGGTGTTTTCAGACTATGCTCCCCCAAGCTCTCTCCATCGTCTCCTTTGAATTCTTCGACAGGAACCCCTTCAGAGAAGCTAGACAGTTTCTCATTATCAAGAGCTGTAGGAGGACCATCTTGTTCAGTACCAACAGCAGTCTCTAAAAGAGATTCATGAGCAAAACCAGCAGGCGAGCTCTCTCCAATTTGTTCAAATAAAGGACCATTGGCAACTCCTGTTTCTAACGTTTTATCTCCCTCAGCAGTTGAAGTTGTTTCCAAATTATGCTCTTTGGACCCTTCAGCAG